CTCTCTCTCTCTCTCTCTCTCTCTCTCTCTCTCTCTCTCTCTCTCGGATGTAAGAGTTAGATATCATATTTAAAACTCAGTCATAAGACTATATTGGGGACCAAAAGTGGATAAAACAGCACTTAATTATAAAATTCACTCTCAATTCTCAGTTCAATTCCTAATTAACGCCACATTAAGCGACTGAACAGCAAAAAACAACAACAAGAAAATAACCCTCGAGTTAGTGAAAAATTCAATTTTTAACCCAAAAAATGCAAGCCATTATATACTGTATATAACATACTGTTTAAGTACAATACACACACTCATAACCTATTGTATGTATTATGTTTTGCATTGATTTTTCTGTGCAAATATTCTCTCATTCACTATATATATGCACACATATAGAGAATATTCTGTACATTCTATACAATTGTGAAACCGTTTACTACTGTATAGTATATATACACTGAATGCTAGGAATTCTTTATCACTGACTATAATATGAGACCAGAATTTAGGTTTGAAATTACATTTTTATGTCAAATATACAGTATGTATGGCTGTGTTATATATATAGTCTGTATTATATAGATATAACTTATATAAAGTGAAAATTATATGACATTCAAACAAATAAAGCCATAGAAGCGGTAAATATCACATAAAAATTGTCTCCACTGCAGAGGAACGGCTAATCCTAAGGAATAAGCGATAAACACAACAAAAAGATGGTCTGTTTTGTTGGTGTTGTCTCTATACTAAAACCCAGTAAACAATGCATTGGAATTACATACAATAAACACACTCATAACCTATTGTATGTATTATGTTTTGCATTGATTTTTAGATAATAGCCTAAAATTATACACAATTTGTATTTTTGCTTTTGTTTTTTGTCTTCAATTAATATCGTATATAATATAATATAATAATTATTAAATTAATGTCAATTTAGTCGCAAACCAATGGGTTATTTGAGGTCCATCTCTGCGAGCTCTCTCTCTCTCTCTCTCTTTCTTTCTTTCTTTCTCTCTCTCGTTGGCTCAAAACATATCTCATTATTTGTAAAATTAAAAACTATTTTTCCGATTGATTTGCGATAAGAATTGGTAGATATATATAGAGTTATGAGCCGTTGTTTCTATTGGTTATACAAATTTGAATGAAATTACTTTAGATTTTATAAAATATTAAATTTATTACTATATTTAAAAGTAATGTTGAAATTCAAGATAAGTTTACAACACATTTGTTATAAAATTTTGATGACTTTTTCCTATTAAATGAGAGCCAAAACGAAAATATTTTCAGTAATTTTATTATGTTTTAAAACATTTTTTCATTGCCTATAATTGAATATCTAATGGAAACATCGGTTCCCGTGTTATAAGTCTTAAAAGTTTTTATTGAGAGTGAGATATAAAAAAAGTAGCTTTTATTAGATTAAAAATCATACACTTTGGCTAAAAATCCCGGTGTTTTATCATACGAATGGGATGTCTGTCTACAAAAACATGTACTGTATGTCTGTATTCTGTATGTTATTCTGTATGCGATTCTGTATGTTATTCAACGCACATCTCATTAACTATTGATACAATTTTCGGATTTACTTTTATGTCTCATATATATTATGTTTTTCTAACCGAAAATAAATGTATGATTTCTTAACAACCAGTTATAGGTCTATAACTTATAGGGTATACAAAAAATTTATTAAAATAAATGATAATTATTATTGTCTTAAAATATAAAATATATCATTAATTGTAATGTGAATATCAAAACTAAAACCACCACTAAATACAATGTCTGTGTCTATTGAGAAACACACTGTAAAACACACACCAGTTATATAACAAACCATATTGTGATTGATTTTGTTGTCAATTTGTTTTTTAATGAAATCAAAACTAAAAATCTATTGTAAAATTGTTTATCCATTTAATTTGTAAACACTTTTAAAAAACAAAAAGCCTTTACTTTATATTATGGATATTATTGTGTATTTATTTCGGGGTAAGAAAACTAAACGATATAACAAATCGCATCAAATATATTATACACGAGAGAAAAGGGGACAAAACTTAACGTTAAAAGTGATTTAAACAATACTTTTTAGCACTTGTTTTCGCCCCCTTTTCTTCTCCATCTTCTCTCTGATCGATACCTTTTGTATAATCTTTTTATTTAATATAAAAATTATATATAAATATATATAAAAATAAAATATATAAACATATTATTTGTTGAGTAAAAGCAAAAAATAAAAAATCTATATATAAATTGTTGTCTATTTGTTTTCATTTGATTATTTGTTTGATTTTGTTTTACATTTCATTTTTTAAATCCAATTTATTTGATGTTTTTGTGGAGTAATAGAAAATATTAGAAAAATTTCTGCAGAAAAACACATAAAAATAATTTATTATAAAAGTTTGTGTTATTTTGTAAATAAATAAAAATAAATAAATTATTGTATAAAAAATTACTTTTATTTATTTCTAACTTATTAAATATTTAACTAGTATTTAATTTTATTATTTATATAAAAAACAGACCAACACTTGAGACCAATCGGCGGTCAGTTTCGCTGATAATAACAACAATTAGTTAATAAAATGAGTGAAATAATTGTCAAAACATTATGTAAATTATAAACTAATACTAATTAACAACAATTAAACGCTAAGTGGTTCGCACGTCGTTCACACTGTCCGGCACTTTAATCTCTAAGCCATTCATCCATGGCGTCAGTATTATCTGACAGCCGAGTCGAGACCTGTTGGGCAACCAAAACACATAATCAATAACTATATCTCAAGACATTAAATCTAATTCAAAGCAAAATGTAACATCAATTCAGGGATCAACTCAATGGCAAACAATGGCGTGCAATAGTAGTATATATTGGTGTCTATGTCTGACAATGGGATCAGTTAGCGGTTGTCACTCACGTATCGCAGAGTCCGAAGGCCAGGTCAAGCATATCGAGCTCTTCATCGGTGGCTTTGTTGTTGATTTGGTCGAAGTCTTTCTTCTCAAATATCAGGTGACACGTGGAACAGGCGAGTGTGCCCTCACAGGCGCCTGTGTTGTCGACACACACACACACACCGTCACCACAATAAGACAATTAGTGATCATTGATAACAACTACTGGTAAGTGGTATGCGTTATATACAGTACACATACCAAAGCCGTCCAAATCTAACTCGTTATCCACGACAACGTCCAGAAGACTGTCGCCCTCTTTGCCGGCGCCGGTCAGTCGACGGCCATCTGTGGTCACAAACGTCACCGAAATACTGATCCAAAAGAAAACAAATTACATAAGTGTTAACAACAAAAAAAAACAGACAAAACAAACAATACTTGGCTTTCGTTTTGTCCGCCGACTTCTTCGGCTTATTATCGGCGCTAATTGTCTGACTATTACTGATAGTAACCACGCGTTGATTGTTGGATGTGTTTGACGTCAATGTCGATGACAATGGCGGCGACAAAGAGCACATCCATCGGCCGGCAGTGATTATCGTACGATCGATGACCAGTGGCAGCGGCGGTGATGTCCGCCATCTGTGGCAGTGTGTGAATCGATGGGCGACCGATCGATAACAGTGTCGGCGAAGACTATTTACCACACAATACATCTGCAGAGAAGACAATTGTCCGCAAAAGTCATGCGGTTTTGGTTTGTGTTGTGTTTTTGTTATGCAATCACTTGTCTCTCAAAAACACATGTGATTTGACTCTCGTTTTCGTTGGCGTTATAAATATAATTACACTTTTAATTAAGTAATAACTAAGTAATTAATTAGTTGTAGCTTTTATCATGATATTTATTAATTAATTAAAAGTTTTAATTAATTTTATTCATGTTTTAATGTTAATTAAAAACAAGTTATTAAAAGTGATTATAAAGTTTCCGTTTTTTTGGCATTTTTAGTAACAGATTATGCGAACGACTCATACAATATCCAGCATTGTAATAACGTTATAACAGTCTATCCATTCAAATATAGCGTAACGATCAAATCGGGGGCAAACCATTCATATGAATAGTAAGGGACAAAACAGTCAACTGAATTATAGGGGTCACTGCAGGCGCTGCGCAATAACGAGCGTAACGTTGTCTACGAACGGCTCTTCAACACAATACAAAGCGGCCGTTCAGTGCAATGCAGAGAGAGAATGCGGCGTACAGTCGATGCGAATTGTTTGTTACCATTACTCATAACAGGCGCACGCTTTAGGTCAACAACGGCTGGTGTCGTATGCATACAAATGTCAGCCATTTCTTAACGCTTAAACAAATTGAAGCAAAAAATTATTACAAAAAATAATTTTATTTTCATTTCATTTTTCACTACATTTTTATTGACCACAAAAACAATGCGGACATCGATATGGATGTGCTCTCCCGTCGGTCACCGCAACTGATCCATCGCTATAGCCATCGACTCATTGACAGACACCACAGCAGGACATCTGCGGACATCACAGGCCGGTCGTCATCGACGGTCAACCACTTGATCCCAATTTGAGCGCCGCTTCCCGTCTAGTGATTGGTGTTATTGCCGAAGACATTGTGTGATCGACGCGTGGGATCCGTTGCCAATACCACAAGAAGTTTGCGGATCCACTTCTCCCGCATACGAGACACTTGTGTTTGTCTTTCATAAATCGGTTGTCCCATCAAAGAGACGATCAACTCGTTTGTCGCCCACAGATATACACCGCTGAAGAGTGTGGTCAACATAATCACCGCAAACATGTCTTCACGAGATACAGAAGTGGTTCAACAGTTCAACGCTGAAGTGAGTGGTCATCACGAGTAGTGATGGAGATTGCGGTTGTGTTTGTCATATCATTAATTGTCTATTTGTGTCCCAAAACAGCTGTCATCGCTCTATGAGGTCCGGCCGCCGATATCTAAGGCCAAGATGTCTCAGATCACCAAATCGTCGATGAAAGCCATCAAAATGTATAAACATATCGTCCAATCGGTCGAGAGGTTTATCATTAAAGTGAGTCCTCTTTCGTGTGATTTTATTTACAAATAAATTAATTTTCTGTTTCTATGACCGGTAGTGTCGGCCAGAATACAAGATCCCGGGCCTGTATGTGATCGACTCGATTGTACGCCAATCCCGGCATCAGTTCGGTGTCGACAAAGACGTATACGCGGCCCGATTTGCCCGCAACTTTGGCCAAACCTTTCAGAGTCTATTCCTCACGTGTCCCACGGATGACAAAGTGATTTGATTCGCGCTTTTGAGTCCAATATTAAAGTTAATGACTAATTGTCTCATTGTATTTGTAGCCAAAGATAGTGCGAGTGTTGAACCTCTGGCAGCGGAACAACGTGTTCACCGCTGAGACCATACAGCCGTTGCTCGATATGGCCAACCCTAACGCCGCCCTATCGGCCATGAAGTTTGACGGCTCACCGCAACCGCACATGAATAGCGGCGGCGGTGCCGGCGGTCGAGATGGCAATCGCGGCGGTGAATCCCGCGACACACCCGCCCTTAAAGACCCCACACTTATTCTACAATTGCAACAATTGGCCAATTCTTTAGGTACTTATCGTTTACTTGTGTTTTTATCCATGTCTTCGTCTGTGGAACTAACCGTTTGCCTCCCGTTTTGACAGGACTTACAAAACCGGGCAATAATTCGGGCGATTCGGGCCAAGAGTCACAAAATCAGATAAAATTCAACAAAAAACTCTTAGACTTTGATTACGGCGACGACGAAGAAGACGAGGAGAGAGGGGAGACGCCCACCGAATCGGAGCCCCCGATGAGGGGCAGCGGCGGAGACGATAATAACTCCACGAATCCGTTGGCCATAAGTATGGCCCAGAATTTGCTGTCGAATCCGGAACTGTTGCAACAGTTGCAGGCGATGCAGAAGACAATACAGCAAACGGAACTCCTGAAGCTCAGTATATCGGAGTTGGAAGCGCACGGATTGGCCGGTTTGGGCCAACAGTCGGCCGCCGGCGGCAGTAGTGGCCAGCAGTTTATGTCCGGCTATCAGTCGCAGCAACAGTTGTCGCAAACGAGTCTAATGTTAGGCAATAGCGAAGCCAACAATAATAATAATAATAATACCAATAATAATCTCTCTGATGATAATCGCAAACAAAAAAACACTGAATTAAATATGAATTATGACTCTATGGGAGAAAAACACGCTAATAATGATAGCAATCAATTAAATCAATCAAATTTAAATTCAAATGACAATAGTTTCCAATACTTGCAAAACAATTTCGCGCCGCAATTGCGAGCCAATAATGATATGAATTATGCGTTAAGTAATAGTATGATAGAGACGGCAGCGCAACAACCATACCATCATCAGCAGCACCACCACCACCAACAGCAGCAGCAGCAGAACCATCATCACCAGCAACAGAATCAGCAATCATTTCATCAGCAAATGCCAAATCAGGACTTAAATAGCGAGCGTCAGGGCTCGCAGTCACCCAGAGGTGGTGGTGGAGGGGGAGGCGGCGGCGGTAGTGGCGGCCGTCGATCGCGGTTCAGGTCTGACCAGAGATCGGATCGGTATCGAGGAGAACGGTCTGATCAGAGATCGCGGTCCCGATCGCCCCGTAGTAGTCGTCGCGGCGGCGATAGAGACCGGGAGGGCGGTGGTGGTGGTGGCCGTCGTTCGCATCGGTCCCGTAGCCGTTCGCCCCGGGGTTCCCGGTTCTCGGATCGGCCCCGTTCTCCGCAGAGTTTCGAGAGAGAGCGGGAACGGGAACGCCGGCGGAAGGGTCTGCCGACCCAACGCAAGGGCTATATGTCCATCTGTTCCACCACTTTATGGTTAGGACACGTCCCCAAACTGGTCTCCGAAGCCGACCTCAGCGACACGTTCGGCGAGTTTGGCGCCATTAATAGCATCGATGTAATGATGACATGTTTTTTATTAATACAGTGCAACCTCTCTTGGGGGAACTTCTCTTGGGGGAACACCTCTATTGGGGGAACGGATTTTAAATAAATTTGGGTGGTTTCTGTATCTATAATAGAACCTCCCTTGGAGGAACCCTCTTTATAGGGAACACTTTTGGCGTGCAACTGGCCGTTCCTTATGGAGAAGTTGCACTGTATACCATTGAATTTGTTAATTGAAACTTTTTATGACAATATTTGTTTAATTGTTTTATAACTAATGATTTGTCTGTTTGTCCGTTAGTTGATCCCATCGCGAGGCTGTGCCTATGTCTGCATGAATAGGCGTCAGGACGCGGCCAAGGCGTTGACCAATTTGCGAAATGTCAAACTACACGGAAGTGTTATCAAAGTATGCATTTTAATGACCACTTATTGTCTTTTGTGGCCAACATTTATGATTCCATATTTAATGTCAATTATCACCCGAACAGATGGCTTGGGCTCCGGGCAAAGGCATGAAAGGCAAAGAGTACAAAGACTACTGGGAGGCCGACGAGGGCGCCAGTTATATACCGTACACCAAACTGTCCGATGACGTGGACTTGGATCTGCTCGAAGAAGGCGGAACCGTTGACGAAGACACTGTTCCCGAGAAACTACAGGGTATGTGAACAGTGTGTTGAGATTTTTGGTGACGAAGTTTTAATTGTTTTGTTTGTCTCCAGAGATCCGCAAACGAAAGAATAAGGAACGGGAAGACCAGGAGAGAGAGGCCGCCGCTATGATGGCCAGAGCGGCCGCAATGATGCAGCAGCCGTTGTCTATGGTTGCACTCCCGGCCACGTCTTACGGCGTTACGGGTAATATCACGTAAATGTGAATAATGGCCACCATTTGCTAACCGCCGTATACTATGCGGTGTCTCTCTTCACTATAGGTCTGGTAATACCGCCGAATATGATGAACATAACGAGTCACACGCCTGTGATGTCGATGCAGTCGGCGACCGACACGCCGCTGATGACAACGGCGATCACCGCCACCGCTTACCCGCAATTACAGGCGCCGCCGCCCATACCGTCGCTGTTGTCCGACGACCCGCTCAAGAACGAGATCACGGAAGTGGTGATGAACACCGACAACAACGACCGCAAGAGCGACTCGGCCTCCAGCCTCATGTCCAATCCGCCGCTCTTTCCGCCACCGCTGCCGCCGTTCCAGACACCGCTCGGAATGCCTCCAATGCCACCCATTCTGGGCGCCCAATCGCATCGTTTGCCGTGGCTTTCGGGCCCTCCGCCGCCAATACTTCCCAACCGAATGCAAGGTCTGGAGTCGGGAACTGCTGTTAAAAATACGTCCACCAAAACGAACTGCAATTAATTTTTTTTTCTAATTATTGTTTACAGTCAGC